TAAACTTTTTCTCCATGTGTTACGAGCTTTATGATGGATGATACTGGATCAAGTATATGTATCTATTATTTTGTATTCTATCATCACTTTTAATTTTGTTTTGAAAAAATGACATGTTATATTATGATGTTATTCCGTGTTACATATTCTACAAGATTTCTGAAGGGAATAAAAACATAGTTTTTTCGTTTCTTTTTTTCTAATTCGCTTTGGGTAAATGAAATTTTTATTTTTTTTTTCATATGAATTAATTCAAAAAAGTCTGACTTAATTCAAAAAGTCGGACTTTGATGACTTTTTTATAAAAGTCATGACTTATTCCAACCCTGAAGGCCAGGAAGATGAGGAAACAACGGTATATTTCGAGGTATATTTCGAGGTATATTTTGTCATCACTTGTCAGGGCTAAACTCGGGGCTAAAGGCTGTGGAGTTCCAAAGGGTGGAAGTAGAAAACTGAAATACTGAAAGCTAGCCTTTCGAGTATCTTAGAGAAAACGAGCGCAGATACAACGAATTTAAAGAATTTTAGAAAATATCGCACTGTAGATTGTAAAATCCGAGGGGGGAACAACTCTTTGAATAGGTGTACACTCTGATCAAAACTTGAAGTACTTAAATACCATTTTCAATACATTGAGTAAGCTTCAATAAGGCTCAGTACTAGAATTCAGTATTCAAGATATTCTTCAACTACCCAGTTAATGCCCTGTTTGAGTACATGATAATCAATGGTGTACACATTTTTACCAGTTGTTTCCCCCTTGGTAGAAGCTGACGAAGAGTCGAGACTAATATAGTATTATTTACCTATTTGCGAGCCTATTTGTTATTGGTGGATCGTGACAGATGTATAGCGCACCTGATTAGACCAATCCGAGGATTAATCTACTATGCCACATCTCCTGTTTTCACAAGTGATGGTTATTTGTTTATAGCAGCCCCTCGAGTTCCGATACAATCTGGTATGATGCCAGAATATTCAATATGATGATTATATGATACTCTTTAACTTCGCATTCCACCAGGATGTTTCTGGTTCTTCTCAGTAGTATCTGCAGGTGATATCCTCCTCTGAGCCTAGCTCCTTCAGTTCTATGAGTCTGCAATTCGATCTGCAATGCCTCGTTATAAATTTGTTAATGACTTGAGATACCTTCCACTACACTGTTTCACCACTAACCAAAACTAACACAGTAGCTTCGTCAGGTGACTGACTGCTAGGTACAATGAACTAAACCAACGTTGGCTTGCTCAACTTTTATATATCCTACTTTCCCAACTTGAAGGATTAGTTACCTGTCGACAGGTTCGATAAACCTTCATTTTCGGAAATTAGGCACAATATCCACATTAAAATACGGTCTACCGGATTAACTTGAAAGGGTTTATAGCAAATAAATATCATTACCTACTAAGAAAACAAATTCAACAGTGGTGAACTATTAGGTCTAATTGATCGTTAAGTAAAATGTCAAAATTTTTGAGTTTGTTGATTTCTAAAGATTCAAAGTGATTGAGTTTCATTCCTTTATTTTCTACATGTTGATGATGATCGGATCATCAACTGATGAATTAGCTCCATTTCTACATAAACAGAACTTGAGAGTAGCGTATGGAACAAATAACACGTTGGGGAGGTTTATCAAAAATAATAAAGACAAAACTTCTGAATTAAGAAAATAAGGGGTACACAAACCCAACTGTGGATCTTGTTCTAAGATATATATATCGGTCAGACAGGTCATACGTTTAATCAGCGCATTCATGAATTTTTTGAAAAAGAAAACAAATCCAACATACGCCAACCATATATTAGAAGAAAACCATAGTTTTGATGATAATTTCGAGATTCTACATGTAGAAAATAAAGGAATGAAACTCAATCATTTTGAATCATTAGAAATCAACAAACTCAAAAATTTTGACATCTTACTTAACGATCAATTAAGTAGACCTCAATAGTTCACCACTGTTGAATTTGTTTTCTTAGTAGGTAATGATATTTATTTGCTATCAACCCTTTCAAGTTAATTCGGTACACCGTATTTTAATGTAGATATTGTGCCTAAATTCCAAAAACGAAGGTTTTTCGAACCTGTCGACAGGTAACTGAGAAGTTAAGCAAGCCAACGTTGGTTCAGTTCATTGTACCAGTATATCACCTGACGAAGCTACCGTGTTAGCGAAACATGTTGTGTGTTTGAGAATTTTGTGGAAATCTTATCGTCGTCTTATCGTTTGTGAAGTTTTTACATTTCCCATGGATTTCCATCAAGTAACGGCCAAGTCAATTCAAAATATGTATTTATGTCATCCCATTTTCCCTGCTTTTCAGCAAGTTCATCTTGGAAATGAGAATGAATGGGGCTGGCCCGAGCTTTGGCCTGATCAGTGGCGTTGCGGCCCGCCCCTCTTCATGCACTACTCCGACGTGAATGGAGAATGGAGTGAACCGATTTTTAGGATTTCTACTGACGCAAACTCCACTTCATTTTTCATCCCTGGTATATTGTTATACATATGCATAGAAGCATTGAGACTATAATGGATGACGTAAACACGTAAACAGAAGAGCATTGTTAACTGTGGTCATCGAGATGGTCATGGCCATGCAAATTGTAAAGACAGATCACCGGACGAATCATTTAATAATTTAGACGTGCAGCACTTTGAATTATACTCGAGTTATTTCACCACAGTTGAGTGAGATGACTTGACATGTCTTGCATCTGCCTGAATGAAACATTTATATTTTGAGATATCTCTGCTTCCGGTCATATCATTACATGGATTACTTAAAAAACACGGCCAGACACTGTCTATAGTTATCCTTTGGATTACCAGGCAATTATCAAAAGTTCATGAAAGGATGAGTGTACGCAAACATTTGATTCGACAGATAAATGGTGCTAAAAGTGTAACTAAACAAAAGTTATACGACTATCAAGGCTATTGATATATCCTATATGTTTTTACGTGTTTTTATGAGTTATCAACATGACTTTACCACCGAGTTTACCACCCAGTAGGTACCTACCTAAAATGTCTTTACCATAGATTGTATACCGAGGTCTATATTTTAGGATGTATATGACTGTATGTGGGTCAATGAACACCTGTTTTGAATTTGTTGTATTTTGTGAGATGAATTTGTGGAATCTTGTGTTAGAGTCGGGCAGAGCAGAGCACAGTGGCAATACAAATATTATTTTTTAAATTCACAGGATGATCTCAATGGTGAGGAATTCATTTCAACATGATGTATTACATTGTACTTTGGTTGAAATCACGGTAGAAACTATCTCGGAAACAATAATTGAATTTTGAATTGACTCGGCCGTTACTTGATGAAAATCTATGTTTTGTCGTGTTTTCTTTTATACATACGGAATGAGCCAGGCAATAAGTGACGGGAATGAGCTACCTATACCCCGCTATACTAGTAACTTCCGGTACCTACCTAGATGTCTATCATCAATGGACAATTCTATCACGATTGTTTTGACCAAGGTTTTGACACTATCTTTGTGGAAGAATAATTTTCCTGTTCTTTTTTCTTTATTTCCTCAGTTCCGATCGAGGAACTTGTTTCACCCTCATTCATAACCTGTATAGTCGCCTGTATAGAGGCAATAAATATTACATCGGTTCCAACGGTACCTACACGAGTACCTACATAAGCATCATAATATACATTATCATTCTACTCGACATTGATAATTAACCTTACAATTATCTCAGTTACATCCGCGGTTACACCCATATTCCATCTAAATTACTTTCATAAATCTAGAGCGCTCGCGAATGGGTAATCTCGGGTAATAACATCTTGGGTGCATCAATGTCAAAGAGCTTGTCGAAAATTAAGCAGCTGATTTTCCGCCTACCGTCCTGAAAATCGAACAAATCTTGTATATTTATAGGAATGGTTCGAAAATTTCACCACTTCAGGGGGCTTTGACCCGGTTTGATCACCGTTGATTGATAATTCAGGAACTTGAGTGGACACTGCATGGATTAAAGATAGAATATTCAGATGCCGAGGAATAATTCCTCGAAGATTTTTAAAACTGCAGAGATAGATTCGTCAATAAATTTCGATAATTTTCTCCAGTTTTATAAAATCAAAAACCGAGATAAAACAAAAATGAAATTCCGCGATATATGAAAATGAGTCATGATTACTGATATCGAGACTGGTATGGATACCTATATAGGGGTCACAAATCCAAGTATCTACATCGAGACCTATACATGCAATCATGTAGGTACCTACATGATGTACCGACCTATGGGGTGATAAGTACTGGAGAGTAAAATCTCTGGTAACATAAAGGAAAAATAATCATGTATGTAGGAACCTCTCGAGTTACCTAGTACTTAGGTAATTGGTGTTTACTTGATCGGTAGTTATCGTACAGTATTATTTAACAAAATCAGAAGACATCGGCTACTATTCCTCGTTATATATACCGTTCTATACCAAAGTTCGAAGCAGAGTTCGAACCGACTGGATCGGAGCTTGAACCCATATCTGAACCAGTCCAATATTACTACCATCATACCCTCGGACCTAATACTTGAAAAATTTCGTGGGAGAATGAATTATTTTGAAGTTATCTCTCAGTGAATCTTTTCCAAGGTTTATTTCATAGCTAGGTGAGTAAACCTCGTTAATAGATTGATGACTTCTGTTCTTCGCTCGTAAAATACCTCGTAAAATACCGAGTTAAATACTCTTTTTGGCTGAGTAGGTACCATATCTTGAATTTGCGAGTTCAATTTCTCAAACTGTTTCACTCGTTGCTGCATTAGGATGAGAAAGGCCTTGCGTGTACCTATACCTACTTTTGAAACAATTATCGAACCTTCAGACTTACTGAATATATTATTTGGAAGATTTTCAGATTATCGCCGATTTTTCACTAAACAATCCCTGCTCAAAGTTCAACTCAAGGAAGAAGACTCGAAAGAAGATTACCTACTGACAGTACTGACCTTTGTGATTTGACGACGGGTCGTATCATAGCTGGCCTCTTTTCGTCCTTATTCGGGAGCCTTAAGTAGTCTTGGTCTCCCAACAGAAATAGATCTTTTGATATAATCATGGCAAACTAATTTGCCCCACTTTCACAATTCTTTTTTTCGAATCACCACTCACACACAAAAAAGTTAAAGATTCATGTTATACAGAAGAAAGAAAGTTTTTTGAACTTATGGAAACTGGCAAACGAAAGATTATGTCAAGTATTAGTCAACATTTTCCATACACGTGCACTAGATGGCGTAGAGAACGGCGCGAACAACCGCCTGCACGAACGGTTTATTTCGAACTGACATCCACGAATCCAAACGAAACCGAATCAACGAATCCTAGTGATTCTAGTGGCGCGAGATCGCGGACAAACGGTAGAATCGAAGTGTGCACTTGCTCCGTGAAGCAAACCGTATGAACGCCCTCGCGTTATGTCTTCTCTCGTTCTCTAAATTGTTCTATATACTCTAGTTTGTTGCACTGCCTAGAAAGCCCTAGAGGCAGTGAAACCTAACATAGTTATTTTTCCTTCGATATTTTTTTTTTATAATTATGTAGTTGAATAGAGGTGCTTTACTAAGACCATGGCCATTCCACCAGAAGCTCAACCAGAAGTATCAAACGGGATCTGCCATCAGCAAACAAGCCTACTTAACGTCAGCCAAGCTCAGCTTCGAATGATCATATAAAAAGATTGCCAAAGGTATGATCCTGCTGCTCATGGGTTGGGTTCCTGGGCTGGTACACTCTAACGGTTTTAGAATGAGAGAATGGGTATAGGCGGTAGGCCAACAATATTGAGCTTATCAAACATCTGGAAAGTTCTTCTCTCGTTCTCTAAATTTTTCTATATAATCTATTCTTTTGCACTGCCTAGAAAGCCCTAGAGGCAGTGAAACCTAACATAATTATTGTTCCTTCGAGATTTTTTTTATAATTATGTAGTTGAATCGGTGCTTTACTAAGACCATGGCCATTCCACAGCAAGAGGTATCAAATGGGATCCACTATTAGCAAACAAGCCATTCCACTTAACGCCAGCCAAAGTCCGAATGGTCATAAAAATATTACCGCTGAGCATGGTTTGGGTTCCTGGACTGGTACACTTTAACGGTTCAAAAATGGAAGAAGGGGTATAGGCGCTCGGCCAACAATATTGAGCTTATCAAACATCTGGAAAGTTTAAAAATCATGATATCGACTATATGGAGAACATTCTTGAGAACAACTGCCAAGGTTATGAATGAATAAATTGCAAGCTTCATTGGAAATACATAGGAAATCTCTAGTTGAGGGCTCTGGCGTTAGATATATCAAAAGCATTTGACAGTGTTTGGCATCGAGGTCAACTATCCGATCTGATGACTTACTACTTCAATCATTCGTTTTCCTTTCGAGCTTATTTTCAGACGATTCGCTCCATATGGAGGACGGAGTATTCGAAGTCAACAGTAAGCGTGATATAACACACCACCAAGTCCACAATACCTGTGATCAGTATCTGTTTCATGGAGAAAGCACATCAGATTCATCGCGAAAAATGTTTCAGAAAAACTTGGGTTTTTATTGTGTGCGAAAGGCTACTTCAAAATTTAACGGCTTCTTATGATTCACAAATCATAGATCTGGGCCCTTTCTGAAACACCTCCCCCATACAATTATGGAATTCAGCACCCAAATATACGTTAATGCTCTTAGATTCCATCTAGGGACGACCTGTTATGCCTGATTGGTGATGCCACACTCACGAGAGCGCAGTGAAATTTTGGTCAAATCATCTGATTTGTCCTCACTACCGGTATTTTGAAATAAAACTAATATTTCCATTTACATAGCCGAGGAGAGAAAATCCCGAAATTCTGGAGATATGAATATTTCACCTACAGACAGTATCTTACATATGAATGTTTAGAAACAGTGATGCAGCTGAAAAAATCCAATGAAGCCAGACTTATGTGTGGGTTTCAGGGCATGGAGGAATTGACGGATCAAATAGCTGTCATTTGGATTCTGCATTGCACTGCCCTCTGAGGTATCACCTGACACCTATCAACTGACAGTGCTGACATACAACTTGATGAAAACCGCGAAATACATAATTTGCTCGTACCATAATATACGGGTATGTCAAACGCTGAATCACCTAAAATAAGTCTACCTGATGCCTGAAGTACAAATTTCGATTTTTCGTGTGAGCCTACTTTTCCCCTTGTACGTCGATGAAATGTTTAAAAACATGTGAATTGCATCGGAAATAGCTATTTATGTATCAAAAGAGCAAAATTATCCATTTCCTTGCGCCTGTGAATCTAAATGCCCAAATGTCCTTAGCGGGACTGAAAGGAAATCAATTTGACACTTCTGTCATTATAAATTCATATATTGTGTAATTGCATTTGAAAGTTTTGATTGAGTATGTTTGAAACAATTCATGAGAACATTATAATTCAGAAAGGAAATTGTTGTTAATTTGTTCAATAATAGTGATGAATACTGATTACTTGGATTGCAGAAATATTATAGGTATATCGACGCGAAGGATGCACGCTCAGACCAATAATTACTTTACCTTCCATTTGGTCTCTCCCGGTGGGAATCAAGTTACAACTTTGTTTCCGTAAAAATAGCATCAGGATCCTACTTTCGATACAATGGTTATAGATAAAAGTTATTGACAAAATTTCATGAAAATTCAAATAAGGCTTATGGCAATGAATTATAACCAATTTTCGGATACCCTGCTTCTCCTTAACCATATATAGGGCCTTTGGGAAAAATGTATAAAACCTTTTTTCTCTTTAGGTGTACGGTGGATTAACGTTCATCATACAGGGCGTACAAAAATGGTGAATTGGGAAAACCAAATGACTCTATGATTAGAGGTCTGTAAAAGAAAATGTCCATCGTACAAGTTTGAACCTCTCGGTTGGGTGTGAAGTTTGGAAGTAGCGAAATGGAGATATTCTCAGATATATTATAAACATGGAAAAATGGATACGTATGAAGAAATACATTCAGCATTCGCCATTCTCTATCTGATAATAATATTAATTCTCTCTCGGAATATTCAACAGAAAACAACTATTTACTGGCTATATGCTACGAAGAGCATTGAAACACAATAAGAATTTGGAAGTGCAATCTTCTGAGAGAAGAATTTGCATTCTCTTTCAGATGAAAATATATAAGTAGGTAGGTATATAAATATAATACGGAATATTCGACACAAACAACTACTTACCTACTTTTCTGGCTATTTGTCTCGTCGAACATAGAATCACGAACTTTCCTTCTTTAAATCAGGTATACTATTGATTGTCGAAGTTCTGGTACTATGAAGTAGACAACTCTGTATATCTCATGGAATCCTTGATAGATTCCTGCTTCGTAACGAGAGTTTTGACGATCTTTGAGGCAAATTAAGGCCTTGTGATAGATACCGACTGGATAAAAACCTGTCGTTCGCATATCAGTAGATGTACCTTTTCGAGTATTTGAGATAATTATAGTTTCTGAGTTTACTTGTGGCCTTTTTATATCTCTGATATGATACTCGTTAACTCGTGTACAAGAACTTAATATATTATATAATAACAATAATATTTATGATGAATATTTTTATTGGACAGACATTAAATCATAAGTACATGTTGAATACTTAACCCTGCAGTGGTGACCTACGGTCTCTCAGACCGACCAGAGTCTGTTTTTTTAATTTTGGCGCTGTGGCGCGATCCCCCCTTTACTGTTTACCTCTAGCTTAACGTTTTTGGGTGTCTTCACGCACTGTAAACCAGATACCGCTAGCGTTAGCAAGAAGCCAGTAGTTATATTATTGTTTTCGGATTGTCAGACCCACGTCACCAGTGAAGTAACAAATCTGCTATATTATTATTTCTCCTTTCAATTCATTTTATGTGAAATTGAGCGAATTCAATCAAAGGTATGTATTCTTATACAAATAGAATATTATTTCTAACAGAAATCATCTATATTATAGGAGCAGAAGAAGCAAGAATTCTACATTTAATGAAGGATCTTATTGAATTGAATTTTGTCAATAATATGATGTGATTCTCAATGATGTTCCCTCTGAGCAGAATCATATCATCTGACACAATTTTGAATTTATATATTTTTTTATCACAAAATGTCTCTCAGACCGACGTCAACGCTCATGTTTCGGAAAACCACGTAAAAACGGGAGGGTTAATGAATGCCCGCCAAGTGGAAGAGCTCAAATAACCTGTGAAGATAGAAATTTGATCTTCCTCTCAACCCGTAATCGGATATCAATGACAAATATCTTGTTGAAAATTATTCAAATTTTTGGCGGATGCACATAATTCACATTCAATTCAGATTTTTATGAGTTGTGCTATAAATCACGAATATTTTTTGTTTTCGTGAAAGGGAAGTCTGAGAAGTACACTATAAAAAAATAATATTGAAAATTAAATGGAGAATCAGAAAAAGAAAACCCTAGGTGAATTGAAATGCGTTGTCACGAATCGAGAAATTGGCGAATGCTCCTTTACAGATGTAATCCACCACGCAATCATGAGGCAAGAATCAGGCGCGCGCTGACAGACTGTAGAATGGGGTGCAGAAACATCAATGTAGGCTGGCCGATTAACTGGTAGCAAAACTCAAATTACATCAGTATCTATCTAGGAAGAGGTATTGTGTAACAAAATGTTTTATTATTTTAGTAGATCAAAGTTGAAGTGTTTTAAATTGAATGTTATCGGCTTTCCAACAGGTATGAGGCATCCCCATGTTTTGATCCATTTCTCCAAATATTATATGATTATTATGATTTTCTAAAAGGTTGGTTGGAGAAATGGTCATTCTTCTCATTCAAACAGGTACACCTACTAAAAATTGGTGAACGGTTATACCATATACTCATTTCTGTATACCTTGAACAAGAATATTACGTCATGCCATTTTTGGTTTGGAGCCTCTATTTTCGATATACAAGGTGCCCCACTAAGGTCGGCCAGGTTATTAAAAAAGTGGCTTCGTTTACGTTCGCTAGTTCGTACCGCGTCTCATAGAGGGCGTCGTTCA